GATGTAATGTAGATACCTGCTTCTACCCTTGCTCTTTTGGTCTGTTCTCCAACCAGCAGCCAGAGGGCGCCTCTGAAACCCTTAGTCAGATCACGTCACTCCCCTGCTCAAAACCCTTCAATAGCTTCTTGTCACTCTTAGAATATTATCTAAAGGCTTACGATGGCCCAACCTCCCGCTGCCTCCCACCCCTGCAAGCTGCCCTCACCCCCCCATTGACCACCACGTTCTTCCTGCTTCCTCTGCTCCAGCCACACTGGCCTCTTGTTCCAGGAACAGGGCTTGCAACCCACCAACCTTGACCATGCCTCAGGGCTTTTGCACCGCTGTTCCCTCTTCCCGGACACGCTTCCCCAAGTTCCCACCTGGTCCTCTCCCTCACCTTGTCAGGTGTCTGGCTCAGACGTCAGAAAGGCTTCATCTGGTTATACCAAGTAAAATAAGAGTCTCCCGCTGTGACACTCTCCTGCTGACTGTTTGTCTCAGACCATTTTATCTGACATTGTATTATCTATTCAGTTGTTTATGGCCTGCCTCTCCCACTGGAGGGTCCCGGGTATCTTGTTCGCTACTGAATCCCCAGCATGCAGACTGTTGTTGCTGCTGGGTGCCACTGGGTTGATTCCGGCTCATAGCCACCCCATGTAACAGAGTAGAACTGCCCCATAGGGTTTTCTAGGTTGTAATCTTTACGGGGGCAGATCACCAGGTTTTCCTCTCGCACAGCGACTGATAGGTTTGAACCGCCAACCTTTTGGTTAGCAGCTGAGCACTTAACCGTTTGTGCCACCAAGGCCTGGCAAAGGCTAGTACTGTATTTTAATGCAAATAAAGTGTGCCTTCTGTTCATTTGCCAACCATGATCTCCTCCCGCAAGGTATTTTCATAAGGGCTGCTATGCCAATTTTTTTTTTTCTACATGTTGCTGTAAAAAAAAATTAGCATAGCGCTTCTGAAATACCTGGGATAAGGGAGAGGGTGCCGTTGGCAACCACACATGGAAGGTGCAAGTTATTTGCGTAAAATACGGTAGTTTACAAAGAGCTGTTGAGTGCAAGAATGAGCCCCTTCATACAGAGACAAGCACGGCCGGCTCAGAGAAGGAAGGGGCCTGACTTTGCTCTGGAGCTGGGTCTCAGACTCCAGACCCTACGCTGCACTGGCGTCTCCCCAATTCCAAACCACTTGAATGCAACTGTGATTTACGCCCCCACCCCCATCCTAAATGGCCTCTCTGGGGGCAGCGACAGGAGGCTGCTCTTGAGATTTTCACAGGGGCTGCCTTGCACCCACAAACAATGTGTTTTCAGTTGTGCAAGTTTTAACTTCTCCGTCCTGAAGCACGGTTTCCATTCTGCTGAGGTGCCCCGGGGGCTTTTGGCACTGGGGACGTTTTCGAAAAAAATTTAGAGAACGAAAACAACTGGCTTCCCTGAGTAGCTCCAGCTGGTAACTAAGACCCTTCTCAGGGAGGTGCGACTTCAGGGCAGCGGAAAAACAGCAGAGGGGGCCAGACTCTGAAGACATCCGCTTGAAATACACACAAATCCTGCAAATGCCTGGCTCTGAGCCTCCGGTTCAACCCAGGTCAACAGAGCGCCTCCTATGTGTCTGGTATGTTTACTGCATGTGAGCTTCCACCTCATATCTGCTTCCTATGTGGCATCTCCACTGGGGGGGCCTCAGATACCTCAAACCCAGTACGCCCCAGAGAGAAGGATGGTTTCCCTCACCGTGCACTCGCTTGTCTTAGCTTCTTAGAGCTGCTGAAACAGGAATACCACATGCCGGTGGCTTTAAAGGACAGAAAGTTACTTCCTCACAGTGCAGGAGGCTAGAAGTCTGAATTCAGGGCACCAGCTCTAGGGGGAAGGTTCTCTCTTTGTCGGCTCTAGGGGGAAGTCCTTGTCTCTGCTTCTCTGGCCCCCGCGTTCCTCCATTCCTTGGCAATCCCTATGTGGCTTGCTTGTGCTTGCTTGCGTCTGTGCCTAATCTGCTCTTTGTATATCTCGAAAGTGATTAGGTTTAGGACACAGCCTACACGGATGCGGCCTCATTAACCTAACAGAGAAAACTCTATTTCCAAATGGGATTGCATTCACAGGCATAGGGGTTAGGACTCCAAGACACGTTTTTGGGGGACACAATTCAATCCATAACACTGCTTCTCCCCTAGATGGTACCACATTCTGATAGGCAAAATCTAGGAGTCACCCTGGACTCATCTTTTTCCCTCAACCCCACATCCAATCCATCAGCAAGTCCTTTCCCTCCATCCTGATTCCCACACCTTCTTGCGACCTGGATCCAACCCATTTTTCTTCTCTTGCTTGGATGGTTGCAGTAACCTCTTCTCCACTCTCCCTGCCTCCAGCCGTCCCCTCCTACTGCCCACTCTCCGTGCAGCAGGCAGAAAGGTCTTTTTAATACATAACCAGATCATGTGGCTTTTCCTGTTAAATGTTCCCTTATCCCATGCCTGTCCACGCATGTAGAATCAACTCTGATTTCTAGACCTGTGTCTGGCCCATGCCTCCCTCTCCACTCACGTCTTCTGCCTGCCCTGCTCTTTCACTCATTCACTCCAGCCACCCTGGCCTTCTGTCTGATCCTTGGTCACAGTACGCTTGTTCTCACCACAGGGCCTTTGCACTTGCTGATTCCTCCTTCCCAGCTTTCCACCTGGCCGGCTCCCTGTCGTCATTCAGGTCTCAGTTCAAATGTCACCTCCTCAAGACTCCTTCCCTGATCACCCTCGAGAATGCTGTTCCCTACCTCCTCCCCGGCCCCAACACTCGCTTTCACTTCCGATTGTTTTCCCATCTTCACATCCTTCCTATTAGCACAAACTCTTGTTTATGGATTTCTCTGCTGGTTTATTGCCTGGACCCAGGGACTCAGGGTGACTCAGGCGGACACACTCCTTGCTCTCACGGAACTGACATGCTGTGGGGGAGACAGGAAAATCTAAATCTACCTTGGACTTTTCAACTGTAAGAGCCATTACTTTCATTTTTTGCTAAAGCAACTTTGAGTTGGGATTTGGTATTCGCAATCAACACAGTCTTGACTACAACATTAAAACAACAACAACAAAACCCAGCTGCCTTCGACTCAACTCAGACTCATAACAACCCACATGTGTCAGAGTAGAACTGTGCTCCGCAGGATTATCAATGGCTGATTTTCAGAAACAGAACACCAGGCTTTTCTTCCAAGGCACCTCTGGGTGGACTCAAGCTGCCCATCTTTCAGTTAGCAGCTGAGTGTGTTAACCATTTACACCACCGAGGGACTCCTGACTACTACTTTAGGCTCCATAAACACTTGCTGAATTCAACAGCCACGGCTTTAACCAAAACAAACTCATGAGTTCTCGCTTTGTCTTTTCCCCAAGCCATCAGAGGTCATTGAAAAGAGCGCCTGCAGACTGCTTTTGGCTAAAGAGACAGACACTGGCTTTGATGCTAGGGCTGTTCTCCACCACTCCGAAGGTTTCTTCCTTCCTCAATAAGTTTCCACCTAGATCCTCTCTTTGAAACATGTTACATTTCCTAAGTGGGAGGTCTAAGGCCCAGTGGCTTATCTAGGCTGGACAGAACACAAGATTGATCCTTTCAGCAAGGATTTCCCCCTCTGGAGCTCAAGACCTACAGATCAGAAAGAAAACCCTGTATCCTTTCCTGATGGTGCATATAACTGATGTCTTGGACTACCCAGACCAGAATTAGAATTCACGGTATTTATATCTCTCCTTCACAGTTTACTCCCCGGAAATTTTCTAGGTTCTAGGAAAAAAACAAATCCCCTGCTAGTAGAAACAGAGCTGTGCTTTCACATACAGCTCTATTTTAGATTACCTTTGTCTCCCCATCTATTGTTAATCCAGTAAGGCAAATATAATTTACAACACCAGAAGATCCCCCCACGAATCCTCTTATCGGCTGGAAAATCTTCACCACCTTGGAGAAAGCTGCTTGCACTTTCCTCTCTTTTATAAGAGGCATCTCATCATCTTTCCCTCCTGGCTTTGGCTATCAGGAGTCCTTGGGGAGTGCAAATAATTAATGCACGCAGCTGCTAATTCAAAAGTTGTATGTCCCAGTCCACTCAGAGGAGCTTAGGAAGAAAGGCCTGGTGATCTACTTCCAGAAAAAAAAAATCAGCCATTTCACACCTTGTGGAGCACAGTCCTCTCTGACACACATGGGGCTGCCATGAGTTGGAACTGCCTGGATGTCAACTGGTTTTTACTGACTTCTGGCTACCGGGAAGCTTAGAGATTGATTCTGAACTTGACTGCCATAGTTAGCCTGAGTGTAGGGTTTTTGCTACAACTCTTTACTCATTACACAGTTTTTTATTCATTTGCTTTTGTTTTAATAGTCCTGTTTTATCTATGATTTCCATTTGAAATCTTTCCCACAGAGGCTGCGGATAAACAAATGAATTAAATTTATTTCTGAAGCGGCTCTTCGCTTTTTTCCTGCCTCCCTTGTAGCTTGCTTAGGGCCACAGGCACAGATACTTTAAATAAGCACCGTCCCTCTGCTCAGCTCTTGCTCTCTCTCTTTGTAAAACGTGCTTTCAGGGGAATGTAAATTGTTTTTAAAAGCTTCCATCCTGGCCCACTGCTAATTATTCCTGACCCAGAAGGATCTACACTAATTTACCTTAATAAACTTATTAAATAGCAAATTTTGGGAGGAAGAAACTACATAGCCCTTATTGGATTAGTAGTCAAATCGCCAGTGGACACCCCCACTACAGCAGGGAGAAAAGCCCATTAGCTGCACGAGGAAGCCAGGGAGACAAGCCGACCAAGTGTTTCCAATAAGTTGTCTCTGGCCACAGTTTCAAGCCTTCTTGGGCGCTGCCAGCAAAGTTTCAAGCCACCAAAAGAAAAAAAAAGTAGAAGAAAAGGCAGCATCTTTTTCCCCCAAAAGCAGCTGCAGGTGATTAAGCACTGAAAATATGAAATGAAGCGAGAGATTCCAAACCTCCAGGTCGTTAAAGAACAGATGGGTATCTGCGAGGTTGAAGATCATTTCTTCCATCATCAAACCGATGCGCACGGATGTTGTGGTGTCCTGTCAGAAAGAAGGAGAACAACACGCTCAGGTGGGAGCTTCCGCCGGCTCAGCCTCCCTCACTTCCCACCCCACCTCTCAAGGACAGGTGCGGTCTTTCTGCATGGCTTAGATGGGCCTAAGCTCCGTCTCGGTGTGGGATCCGGGTGATAATGCTGTTCAGCTTCTGTGATGCCACTTCTAGTTTTCCACCTTTTATATTTACCTTCTTTAGTCTTTAAATCTGCCCTAAACTGCCCCTGGAATTTCAGCTGTGTTCGCTGTTGCAATGACCAGGAATGGCTGCAATAAAGGAAGGCCTCTTGGAAAATCTGTTTCCAGGCGTTCCCTTTTTGACGTCAGGGAGGGCTGGAAGATTTTGGAGAAAACAGTACATACTGTGTATAAACCACTGGGAGATCTGGTGTGTTGGTTCTCTACGATGATCTCTCTCTCTACGCATGCTGCCTTGTTGCTGGTGTTGTTAGCTGCCAGGGAGTCAGCCTCCAACTCATGGCAGCCCCGTGCACATCGGGATCAGACCGTTGTGATCTATAGGGTTTTCACTGGCTGATTTTTTGGAAGTAGATTGCCAGGCCTTTCTTCCTAGTCTGTCTTCGTCTGTAGACTCTGCTGAAACCTGTTCAGCATCATAGCAACATGCAAGTCACTGCTGACAGATGGGCATTGTCTGCATGAGGGGCACTGGCTGGAAACTGAACCTAGGTCTCATGCATGGAAGGCGAGAATTTAGTCCTCCTCACATGCTACCTTACTCCTGATATTTAAAAACTCACTGTTATCTAACAATAGAGGATTAGTCATCAATACAAACACACAAACAAAAATCTTCTCTGGTACATCTAACCCATGGAAAACTGGGCAGCCATTGCAAAAATGAAGTCATGCTCGATCTGTTGATATGAAATTACTGTCAAGAAATACAGTATCAAATAACAAAAGCAAGTTACATCACAGTATGTGTTAAACACAACCATCCAATAAAAGGGTCCGTGAACACACACACATACACACACCTACCTACTGTACTTCTACACAAATAACACACGTGTTATGAGTTTTTTGCCAACTGTGCCCTACCCCACCCCCGGTATTTTTGTAAGGGTGCTATGCTAATTTTTTTATTTACATGTTGCTGTAAAAAAAATTGTATAGCGTGCTTATGAAAAACCCGGGCAGGGGTTAGGGTGCAGTTGGAAAAAAAAAAAAAAACATAACAAAAGTGTTATTTGCATAAAAATATGGTATACATGGAGTGTGGTAGCCTACATTGCTGTTCACCCATACTTTGGGTCATTCCATAGATGCCTCTCCCTGTAGGAGGATGATATATACCAGGAGTTGGCAAACTATGCCCCCTGGGCCAATGTGGCCCGTTGCCTGGCTTTGTATAACCTGTGAGCTGAGAATGGTTTTTACGTTTTTAAATGGTGTAGGAAGTCAGAGGTAAGTACTTCTGACAGAGGCCACATGTCCTGCAAAGCCTAAAATATTTAATAGCTGGCCCTTTTCAGATAAGTTTGCTGGCCCCATATATATCCCTTGCTCTTGAACTTGGGTGTGACCATGTGACTTGCTTTGGCCAATGGAACGTGAGCAGGAGTTATGTGTCACTTATGGTCAGAAGGCTGAAGAGCTAGAGCACAGTTTACCACGTTGTCTTTTCCCACTTCCCTAGAAAAGCTACTCAGTCAGCCGGCATTCTAGGATAAAGATGACGTGAACTGGAGTTGCAGCTGACTGTAAAGGAACAAAAAAAGCCAAATCTGTTGCCCTCAAGTCGATTCTGACTCATAGTGATCCTGTAGGACACAGCAGAATTGCCCCAAACGGTTTCCAAGGCTGTAGTCTTAACAGAAGCAGATCTCCAGGTCTTTTCTTCCACGGAGCTGGTGGTGGGTTTGAACTGCCGGTGGGTTTGAACTGCCAATCTTTTGGTTAGCAGTTGAGGTCTTAACCACTGCGACACCGGGATTTCTTAATGGACACGTACCATAAATGAGAATTAAATCTTTATTGTTGTAAATTCCCAAGATTTTCCCCCTATATTTTATTGTGTTTACAGAGCAGGTTAAGTTCCTGTTCAACAATTTCGACACAAGTTGTTCAGTGACATTGGTTACGTTCTTCACAATGTGTGAACATTCTATTTCCATTCTGGTTGTTCTGTTTACCCCTAAGGATTTTGAGTATGTTTGTTACTGCAGCATAACCCTGCCCACACCAACTGATACACATGGAAAATACGTAGCATAATGGTTCTCAACCCTCCCTTGACACTGTCATGTTCTGAGGAGCTTTTCAAACATCCCGATGCCCAGGCTGCACCCCAGACAATAAAGTCAGAATTGCTGAGGGTGGAGTCCAGGATCAGGCAAGTTTAAGCTCCTCAGGTGTTTCCAAAGTGCAGCCAATGTTAAGAATCACTGGTCTAAAAAGATACACAACACACTGTTAATAATATAATGCAAACGGTTTGTACTCTGTTACTAACCGAAGGTTGGGAGTTTGAATCCACTCAGTGCCATGGAAGAAAGGCCTGGTGATCTACTTCTGTAAGATTAACCCATTGTCACTGAGTCGATTCCGACTCATGGCAACCCCATTACAGCCACTGAAACTCTATGGAGTGCAGTTCTACTGTGACGCACATGGGGTTGCCATGAGTCGGAATCGACCTGATGGCAACAAGTTTGGTTTTTTAGGCTTGATTAGTAATATTCCTTGCTAATATCTGTTAAGGGCTTTCTCTGTACCACTTTACAAGTATTAACTCATTTAATCCCCACAAAGTTCTATGAGGTAAGTACTAGTATTTTCCCACTTTACAGATGAGGAAACTGAGACCCACAAAGGTTAGGTAATTTGCTTAAGGTCACAAGGCTGCAACTTGTTGGTATTTGAACTCAGGTAATCTGGTTCAGGAGGAGACTTGGTGATGCAATGGTTAAGCGCTCAGCTGCTAACTAAAAGGTTGGCTGTTCAAGCCTGCCCAGTGGCTCTGCGGGAGAAAGACCGAGCCATCTGCTTCTGTAAAATTATGGCCCAGGAAACACTATGGGGCAGTTCTACTCTGTCACATAGGGTTGCTCTGAGTCAGAATTGACTTAACAGCACCTAACAACAACAACATCAACAACAACAATCTCATTCCAGTTGTTATGATGCTGGACAGGTTTCAGCAGAGCTTTCAGACTAAGATGGACTAGGAAGAAAGGCCTGGCAATCCACTTCCAAAAATCAGCCACTGAAAACTCTGTGGATCACAATCATCCAATCCCCAACTGATCATGGGGATGGCGCAGGACTGGGCAGTGTTTCGTTCTGTTCAGTTGTGCGTGGGGGTGCTGTGAAGCGGGGGCTGACTTGACGGCAGCTAACCGCTACAACAATCTGGGTCCAGAGCAGCCCTGCTTCTGAGGTGAGTTTGGGTGGGCTGGGGTTAGGAGAGGAGAGAAGGGGCCGTGCACCATTCACTCCATACACTTCTTTTCCTGTTAGAGTTTTCCACCAGGAGGCTGTATTACTTCTATTATAAAAATAAATAATTAACGACATAAACCCTTCTTGACCCTTAAAAAAAAAACAAAAAAAAAAATGTGGCCGGTGATCTCAGCTTCACACACACAACTGTGCAGAAATCAGGAACTGAGCCACAGGCGGAATACTTCATTACAGCCCGCTAGCCAGAGCTTAGCACTCCAGCCCTGGCCCGAATCAGCAGGGCAAGGAGCACTCGGTGAAAAATGAAGAGAAATGAGGAGACAAACTTCTCAGGGCCTAGGAAGGAATCAGTGTGTGACCTGGGAAAAGGTTTTAGGGGGTGTTTGCATGTACTACTCACAGCCAAGCCATGTCACCTCTGTGTGACCACCCCTGGACTGTGCGTGGAGCAACAAGGAGATGCCATCCAAACATGCTGGCTGGGGGAACTTGTTCAGAAAAATGTCAGCTCCCAGGCCGGCACACAGAAAAGGAAAATAATTATTGTACGCCAAATGGTTTATCTGTGAAAATTATTTATATAGATATAAGAAGGCAAATATCTCTGGGTGGTATGAACAGTTAAGTGCTTGGCTGCTAACCGAAAGGTTGGTGGTTCGAGGCCACCCAGAGGTGCTTCGGAAGAAAAGCCTGGTGCTCCATTTCTGAAAAATCAGCCACCGAAAACCCATGGAGCAGAGTTCTACTCTGACACACACGGTCGCGGGAGAGGTCCCCATAATTTGGAATCAACTTGACGGCAACTGCTTTAAGAAGGCAAACACTGTATGTTGATAAAGTTGAAATTATGATCTGTTCAGACTGGAAGGCTGGAAAGAGAAAGCTTACATGTGAGATGGGGGCAAAGGAGAAAAAAGAGAGCTAAATTCTTATCTTCTATTTTGGGAAGCCAGAGATCATGCCTAAAACTAAAAAAAATCAAGATGTAGCAACTTAAAAGCATGTTACTTAAATACTTGGAGGTCAAGTACCAAAAGAATCACCAAGAGTTGAAAGCCATTGCCTCTGGTCAGAAAGAAAGGGTGGGGAGGTGATCTGGGGACTGCTGTTTTTCATAATACTTTCCTTTGTAGAACTATAAGAATTTTCAACTATATGTATGTATCTCTTGGATTAAAAAAGTGAAATTAAAGATGAAAGGCAACATACTCAGTAACTCCACTTTTCACTGTGTGCCCTAGAGAAAAACTCATCCATGTGAACAAGGAGGCATGTGAAAGGTATTCATTATAGAATTGTTTGTAAATAACAGAAAAAGATTAGAAACAATTTAACTGTCCAGCCCAAGGAGACTAGAGAAAGAAAATGTAGTATATTTTCTTCAATGCAAAACTAAATTGCAGTGGAAAGATAACCCAGATCTCCTGGCATTAACATGGAGACATCAAAAAAATACATGCTGTTGAGTGAAAAAAAAAAATTGCTGAAAGTTATATAATGAGTATTATTTGCTGTTGCTGGGTGTCAGTGAGTTGATTTTTGACTCATATCGACCC